CAAAATATGACTATCTACCACCAAAAACTAACTTTTCACTTTATGACATGATCCCTTTACTGCACTGTTGTACAGACGGAACTACAATAGTGTGAGTAGTAATGGAATGTTTTAATGTCAGTTTTGCCAACCCGAGTCCTTAAATTTATCCACATTATCAATTTTCTGAAGCTGCCCCCTGTCTGAACAAGCCTCCTTCTCCCCTAACTAATTTAAGTGTTTCAATTTAAAACTTGATGTAAGTTTAACTTGTAACACTTAAATTAGTTACTTATATTAGTATTCTATAATACTTTTATTTTCCATTCTTTTATTTATTATTGATTAGTTTGAACAAGTAAATATTTTCTTGGTCGATTTGACCTTTCTATGCATTAAAGAACTGCGTCAGTTTTTACGTAAGATCTATATTAAAATCATAAAAATAGGTTACGAATCTATCCCAAATTAATATCTTATCAAATTAAGTTCTAAGTAATAAGGACTGATGATGTCATTTTGGGGTCCATATTCACCTTGTTTATGAAAATAGATATCGTAGCTAGTACAAAAAAGTTCCAGAATTGTATGATATTTAACCTATATGCTTTATAGATTTTGTTTGCCAATACCAACAGTTCAGCTAAAAATAAGTAAAATCGATTGTTTAATATATTTTGATTAGAGACAGGATCGGTTTTAGATGGTTCACCAAAATATAGGAGAACGATCACCAATTATTGAAAATTCTACAATTTTATGGACAAAGCTTACAAAAAGTTAGAAAAATAACAATGACCATTAAGAATTTACTGAAATTACATAAATCGTCAATATCACAAAATAAAATATAATAAAATACACAATCCATTGCAAAGTTTAAATAAATTACAATAATAAAACCTTACAAACTTATAAGTTGTGATACCCAAATATACATAAAATACATTAGTCACTTGTACATAAACGTACTGTAATTTCTTAGTTGTTCGTTAAGAATCATATGGTTTTCAGATAGGTCGGCTTTTGTCATTTTACGGAATGTAAGGAAATAAGTTGCAAAGATAAATGGTTGTATAATTTTTGCCGAATATAATATAGATTTCCTTACCAATTCAGTGGACGGGATCGATAAATACACATCAAATATTGAATTTCTGGTGGAGTAGTCATGATTAGGTCTTGCTGAAAAAACATGTAGGTGTTTTCGAATTAACCAAACAGTTTCGAAAATATATAAAGAGGGAAGAGTTAAAATCTCGTGATTTTTAAAGTAGCTTCTGCAATGTATTATTCATATATAAGTTAACACGTTGCGTATGGCTGTACAAAAAAAATATACCCCCAGCCGGCGTTTTTGTTTTATGTATCTAGATTCATTTTTATCTAACTAACATGCCACAGTAATTTTTCTTGTTTGATTTTCGATATATCATAAGTTTTTTTAGAATATACTTTGTGGTACAACGTTTGTTTCACGCCGGCCAAGGATTAATTTGTTTATTCCAGCCGGCATGGTTTGTTACAGTTACGCGTACCACACGCTATATTTTGCGTCAAATGAATATTCATGGTTCTTGGAACAGTAGTGGGGTGACTGAATTTGCAGATCGTTTATATTCTGTGTCTAGTTAGAAGTAGTCTTAGTTGTTATTAGTTGTTGCTGACGGAGTGTTGTTATCGTGCCATTTATTGCAATATGGGAGATTATGAAAAATAACAGAGCCGCCTGCAAGCCATTTGGGATGAGATTATGTCTGATGAGGACAATGAAAGCGAATTTGCCGATGTTTATTTGTCAGAAGAATATGAACCTGAATCTTCCAATGAGTATTCTTCTGATGGTTGCGAGGAGCCAGTTCCCAAAAAGCGTGTCAAGAAAAATAATGAAAAATCTGGCGAAGGTACTTCTAATGTGGTTTCTGCAACCGTAAGTTATTGAACTTTATTTTTATTTTGTCAACAATAAACATGTAAACTTTTTGTAGATGGATTGGAAATCTGTTTCACATGAAACTATTTCAATCCAAGGAACAAGGACTGTTGAACAACAAACAAATATTATTGATGTAACTATACCAGAAATAATTTATATGGCCACAATTACTGAAGAAGTGTGTCATAGCGAGCAATTTCAGTGGAAGGAAGTTGATGGAACATCGCTGAAAACATTCGATTACAGTGTAGAAAACGACGAAATAAAATTTTCGTACTACAAGAATTATACAGATCAAGAATCTTATTATTGTCTTAAGATCTTCCTTACTGACGACATAATAAATTATACAGTTGAACAAACCAACTTATATGCACAGCAGGTTTTACAAAATTATACTACACCGGCAAATAAGAGAAAACACAAAAAGAAGTGGGTTCCCACGAATACTTCTGAAATGAAAAAAATATTTGGCATTATTATGTGTATGGGATTAGTCAAATATCCTCGAATAAAAGCATACTGGAGTAACGACATTTTGTATACAAATTCAATAAAAAGTATAATGTCTCGAGATCGTTTTGAAGAGCTATTAAAGATGTGGCCCTTTAGCGGCAATAATGATTTTTTTTTTCGTCTTTATAGAGGGGGGGTCTGGAATCTTCAAAAGACATCTCAGTCCAGAACGCCGCCTGACTGACCTTAGGGCAGGATTCGTTCTTCGTACTCCCGGCGATAGTTCCAGAGGTACTTTAAAATGCCCTCTCGTCGCCGAGTCTACGCCGAACGCCTACCTGCTAAACCAGACCCTCCTCTGTCATCCAGCGATCCGGAAGCGGAATGGCCGCTGTAAGGCCGGCATCACTTCCGAAGCACTACCTTTATTCATTCATTCTCCATTCATACACATCCACACTCCTATTTCGGCATCATTCTCAGAAGAGCATTTTCTCCTTCCCCACAGTCAAACTCACGCATTCTAACTCAAAAAGTGTGACCCACTGTTCTAACTTTACCTTTCAACATCATTCACTCTACCCTTTGCCGTTGGTCCAGCTATCTTTCTTCCTCTTCCTTTTTTTTTATCACTGCACGGATATAACTGTGTATGTTAATCCAACTTAATTTATTTTCAATCATACTTCTCGAGAAGCTAATTGAACAGTTATAAGCAGTAATGGTGCCATGTGAAGAAGTATGCATAGATGAGACACTTGTGCCTTTTAGAGGATGCCCAAAATTTAGGCAATATATAAAGAACAAACCGCACAAGTTAGGAATAAAACTGTACAAATTATGTACTATAGATGGGTACACATACAATTTCAAAGTGTATTCTGGTAATTTTTAAAAAGTGAAACTGGAACAAACCATGAAGTGAAGATATCCAGGAGTGGCTAGTATACCAGTTGAATACAAAGCACGTGGTGTTCGTGTGTATTAAGGTATAAAAAAAGCGCTTATTAAAAGCTTAAAATTTTTATTTTAACGAAGATCTTTTCGGAATTGTATCATTCCATCATCAGTTTAATGAAAAGTTGTTGAAAAAAACATTGTATGGCCACATAAAAAACATTGGATGGACATCCGGATTTAAAAAGTAATCTTCATGGTATTTATTAAGGTAAATGCAATAGACTCTTAAATTGTATATTAATAAAAAATGAAAATGGGGGCATCTTATATGACCCCCTGTAGCTGGTGAGGTTTTATCGACTTACATTACCTCTGATCTGTGTTGGAGTCTGGGGCTAACTGTTCTATCAATTCCATAAAACCCTGTAGTTAAAAAACCCTGAGTAGCCGTTAGCGGCATCTAAAAATAAAGCAAAAAATTAAAAGTCAACGATTTTCCAAGCGATTTTACTTTAAAAATCCCATTTCCGACACTACTAATTTGTGTTCACTTCCTACTTCTGCAGAGGTTAATGTCTGCGCCTAAGATGTTTGAGGGGTGTATTTCTCTATCGGCTAGTATGTAGTCAGTCCATGTCCTCTTGTATTCTCAAAGGTATACCTATATTGCCCCTTATGTGGAAAATATGTGATATTTATGCACATTTCTTTTAATTAAAACAATAAATTCTGTCAAAAATTTATAATTATTTAAACATAAGCTTGAAACAATATTTGAATGCTAATAACGCTAGAAATACCCACACGATGGCAGAATTCATTAAACCTATTGTACAATTGCCTTCGTTTATCTAAAATCAGTCAATATTTTTGAACAAATATTGATACAAAAGTAGCAGTCTATATGAGAAACAATTATAACTCTTAAAAAATACTATTGCTAACAGTCTTATACATATATGAAACACTGCCATCGGGGTAATGTACTTAGAAATAATCAATTCAAGCTGATTAGACATTCATGTCGTGTAAAAGAATATTTCTATATATTTGATTAACAGGAAATAATGTCTCTAGTATGTTTTTAATCATTTTAGTTGCAAATTTATTTTGATATGAAAAAATATAAAATGTAAGACTCACACTACTTCTGTCGATCCAAGAAAAACTTTAGAAAAATCCTTAGAAACACAGCAGAATAAATTATATAAAGATCTGGAAGTAATCTAAATGACTAGTATAGGAAGAGAGGCAACACGGATGTTTTCATAACTTCTCTTGGGTTATTTTTAAACTTAAGACAAAGTTAAAAGAATAGCGAACTCTCGTTAACCTAACTAAGCTAACTATGAGCTCAGCTGGAAACTACTACTGAACTTATGCTTGACACTAAGGTGGAAAAGTAGTCTGAAGACAAAAAACAGAAGGGATTCGTAAAAAGTCGTGAAGGAGGTGACTGATCTATGTAGCAATATATCTGCCATGTAATGAAAGAATATTGTTGACCAAGCTAAGGTACTTTTGCAATAACTCTTTGCCAGGTAACGAAATATAATCAAATAAAAAAGATAAAATTAGACTACTATATGTGGAGAGTTAGTAAAATTGATAAGACTAGAAAAATACATAACTAAGATAAAACAAAAAAATGCTCGTATTGATTTCCACGACAAATAAAAATGACATATCAGCTTGAACTTTAGAGCAAAAATTTATAATTCTAATATGTCTATTGTTTTTTTGGATCTGGCTTATTTCCCCCTCTTCTGGAAAGGTTTCGGCCAAGACCTTGAGGAACGTCTGGTAGGGCGGTAGCTTCTTCAAGGTAGTGTGGTTCTGGTGTCGAAGGTACAACAGAATCTATGACTTCTCCTATAATTTCTTCGCTGCCGAAGTTTCTGTTCAACTCGTAAAACCGAGGTGATTCTGCACAATCAATGGCTTCGTCCGCTCTGGTGCATGTAAACATTTCCTAAAAATAAAAAAATTTAATTTTGAAATTTAGAAAAGTTTAACTATAATTTTATGTAATACGAACTGAAGGGAAATATCAAAAATGTGATATTTTAAATAACTATAAGCCAGTTTAAAATAAAACAAAATTAAAAAATGAACTATGTAAATAGAATACTAGTTTTTAGGTAGTACTTTCAATTAGGTTATTTTCGTTTTGGGGCAGATTTTTTGTTCATGTAAAGCTGCCTAAATCAGTTGTTCTACTTTGCTAGTAGAATGTTAATAAGTTCTAGTATGTCCTTTGGTCATATTGAATAACTTCCCTGTTGTATTAAAGTTTATCGAAAATAAGAACTATTGTAAAATAGTCACACCTTCTATTCTATAAAAAAAACATTGGAAACTCTGATCTAGGGTCATGAATCATGCATAAATTAAAAACCCACCGCCAAAAGCCACTCTTAAAGCAGTTAGTTATTCCACCCTAATTTCACAACGAAATATTCAAAATATTACAATTCATCCTTAGAATTGCGATATATCGGGTAACTTGGAGCCTAGCTTAACCTATCCGAAAGTAATAGATTTTGCCAATCTTCCATTCACCAGTGTTGATATTCCAAACGCCAATATATTTGTCTAGTTTATGTTCATTTCTAGTTCCGAAACGTTTGTCTTCTGCTTAATAACTCTTATGATAAGTTTTTGCTGATATTGATGACCCCACCGTCCTCTGAACGGTGGTGTCATTTTATGTCACTGATACACGCAACACGTATCAATGTCATAAAGCAAGTGTTAGTGTAAAAGTAGAACTCAGTCGCCTTTTCTTGTATAGAGAAAAGGCCGAAAGCCAAAGAACAAGGACGAAAGAAGGACAATAGGAAAGATTAAGGTTATTTCACCCAAGACAGTTTGAAGCAAAATGGAATGTCAAGGAACCAAGTCAACAAAGGGCGATGAACTTGAAGAAAGTGGATGGCCGGAAATGGGTGCTGGTGCGCAAAATCTGGTCCCAGTTTCACTCATCCTTCTTAGCATTTCCTCTCCTTATTAATTAGCGGCCAGAAGAACGACTGTCTCTCCATTTAGTCGGATTTCACGACAAGTAGGAGGAAATTGTGGAACATGTTTTTAGAGCGGCCCATCCCCAGACGAGGAAAGCCTATAGTGGTAGAGGAAGTGTTTTTGAATGGTTTAAAGATTACTTAAGAAAATACCATTGCTAAAAAGCTAACCACAGGAACACCTGTAGGAAAAAGAAGCAAAGGCCGACCGCGAATTAGGTGGTTAGATGGAGTAGAAACCGACTTGCGAATATTAAAAATCAGAAGATGGCAACATGTTGCCAAAAATCGAATAGAATGGCGACGAATCTTAGAGCAGGCCAAGATCCACAGAGGATTGTCGAGCCAAAGATGATGAAAGATTACTTAATGGGTAGAAAGCAACAAGTGAGGATTGATGGCATTACCTACATTACATACTGAAATTAGTGTTAATATTGGGGTACCTCAAAGTACTGTCCTAAGACCCATTTTTTTTAAATTTTATTTAAACATAAATGTGTTTGTTAAATGTCTTCTTCTTCCTCTTTATAAATAAGCTATTCTGCTTGTTCATTGGCAGAATAATACATGTTTGCAAGGTTGTCACTCCATATTTTGCGCGGTCGTCCGATACGTCTTTTTCCGATTAGTGACTTATATCTTGCTATCTTCTCCATTCTACTTATGTGGTTATTCCATTCTTTTTTTCTATTTTCTGTCCATTCATTTATACACTGTACGTTACATTTTCTTCTATTATCTTCACTTCTCTTTCGATCTCTCAGCGTATTTTCTGTAACTCTTCTCAGTATTCTAATCTCTCCGGTTCCAGTAGTCTTTGCATTATGACTGTGTCAGGTCTTATACTGGCTTTATACATTTTTGACTTTATCTCAGTGTTAATGTGTCTATTTCACCATATATTTATTTCACTATATAGTTTATTTGCTTTTTGTACTTCGCTCACTTCGCTCACTTTTTTGTCCAGGTCTTCATAGCCGGACAGTGTACTTCCTAGGTATTTTATTTTCATTACTTGTTTAATATTGATGCCTTCAATTTCTATTTTACATCTGGTCATATTAAATTCTTTTGCCTTCATGTAAAATCTGTGGACCAGTATTTGCAGACTATCTTCATCTTGGGCTATCAATATTGTGTCGTCTACGTAACAGAGTATTTTGATTTCTTTGTTTCTAATTGTGTATCCCCTTCCTTTGTTAACGCTTTTGATGACTTCATCCAAGATTAAATTGAAGATCATGGGGTTCAATGAGTCCTCTTGTCTTATTCTGCTGCCTATTTCTATAGGTTCTCTAATTTGTCCATCTATTCTGACTTCCATTTTGTTGTTTTGGTAGATGTTTTTGATAATGTTTATAATATTTAGGAAAACTTCTCTATTAAACAGAAAATGGATTACATCTTTAAGTCACACAATCACGCGAGGCGATCAACCCTACCCCTAGGGACATGTGTATACCACTGTAAGAGTGGGATCCACATGTCCAAAAATCAAACCGGTTACACCTCACTAGTTGAGGTGGTACCTATCTGACGCCCAGGCTTTTCCTCCACCCCTCCTCAGCGTGTGACTTACGTGAGAAGGCTTATGATCTGAATGTTACGTAAGGTGTCTTGGGTAATGAGACACCTTCTGTTTTTAATGACTGTGGTTAGGCCACCTAACTGTAGGGGTAGCACACATGTCGGCTTTTCCCCCTATTTAACTTTACTGACTCTATAGAAGTTACTCTAGCTTTACTTCGGGACTCATGTCCCTAAAAAAGAGCGTGTGTTCCAGACAGAGAGTCATCGGTCTAGACCGACAGCTCTCTGTCTGGAAAAGAATGTGTGTGGTCGTTCACTCAGTCGCCGATTTGACAAAATAAAAATTTTGTTCTCCTCGCCGGCTGGGTGTTCTAGAAGTGAGTCCTGGCCACCGAGCCCATGCTTGTCGCACATGACCTCGATGCTCAGAGTCTGCGTTTGATCAATACTTGATCTGCCTGAAGGGCCTGTGCCTGCTGGCTGGTATAGAGTGCCTGACGGGCCTTTTATACATTCTTATTTGTGTTATGTAAATTTTTGTGATGTAACGGGTGTTCTTGTTTATCTTGAAGATGACATGACATTAATTAGACAGTGAGCGATTTTTGTTTTTTAAAAACTAAGTCTATCTATGCTAATACCTTAACTATGGAGTGTGCATTCCCAAGTGTATAACGCTCTCACACACTCCGTGTATATGTATTTTGTGTTTTTTGTTTTCCCTATTCTAATCTAAACCTAATCTAACCTAAGTGTGCGTGTGGTGGGGTGTGCATTCCCGGGTGTATAGTGCCTGCACACACCCCGGTGTATATTGTTTTTATATACTATATTTTTTTGGTGCTCACTGTCTAATATACTCTGTAGTCGGCTCTGTGTCTATCTCTTTCTTCATTTATCCTTCTTCTCTATATCCAATAAGTTATTGCTTTGGCCGTTTATGTACCGTTCTAGTGTTTATGTCGTAGTTTGTTAACTCTCTTAATGTCCTGCTTGGAGGATTTACGAGACCATTGAAAATGGTGTTTGCTCTTTCGTCCATTGTCCTTAGGATTCTTTTTTGTCCAAAGTCCCTGAATAAATACCTCAGTGGAACGTATTGACGTAGGTTCAGTGCTTCTCTGATTATCCAGTTTTGTGTTGTTTGGATTTTCTTCCTATTCGTTTTACATGTGTGTCCCCATGCGGCACATGCATATGTTAGGGAGGGTAGTATTATACTATTAGCTACCCTCATTTTTGTCTTAAAGCGAAGTTTGCTCTTTCTGCCGATTAGCGAAGAGAGTTGACTTCTTAGTGCTTTTGCTCTGTAGACAGTTTGTTTTACGTGTTCCGTGAAAGTGAGCTTTCTGTCTAAAATGACTCCGAGGTATTTGGCCTCGTTCGTCCATTCTACAGGGGTGTTTCCCTGTCTGGTCTCCTTATTCTGTGTCTGTACATAACGGCCTGTGTCTTGTCAGGATTTAGTGCAATTTTCCACTTTATGCACCATCTTTGGAACCTATTCAGAGCGCTTTGTAGGTGGCTGGCAGCTAGGTTTGGATCTCTACTGCTAGCTGCTATGGCTGTATCGCCGGCATATAGGCTAACCATAGTTCTCGGGTCTGTCGGAGTGTCAGCTGTATAGATAGTGTACAGATAAGGCGATAACACCGCTCCCTGGGGCACACCTGCTTCCAGGGTCCCTAATTCAGATGAGGTTGAACCTATTCGAACTCTGAACCTTCTGTTAGCTAGGTATGACGCAAGAAGACATGTCATCGCTTCACTATAGCCTAGGTTGCTCTATCTTTAAGTCTTACACTGTCAAACGCTTTCTTTAGGCCAATCAGACACAAAAATGCTGGTCTATTATATTCTAGCGATTTCCAGTAATTTTCTTTATAACGAATATTGCATCTGTACACGATCTTCCACTACGAAAACCCTGTTGATCATTTGCTAAACTTATCCCCTGATTTATTAGTCCTTGTAAAATTTTAGTTTTTAGTTTTATGGTAGTAATTAGGGTTGTTAATGTTATTTCTTTAATTTATATGCAGATGGCACCCTATTCACAATTACCATACTCGAGATAATTGCAATTTACACATTGTTAAAACAAAAAGGACGGCTTCAAGAAATTCTTTGTTGTTTAAGGGTATTGATGTTTTTAATAAGCTTCATTAAACAGTTAAAAACCATAATTAAAAGCACCATTAGGTATGTAGTTGGTTTTTAGTTAAATTTTTATGGATATTGTTTTTTGATATTTATAATGACTGTAGGTACTATATTTAAAGTATAATTGTTGTTTTTATCTTGTTATGTATTAATGTTGCTCTAAACTGATTATTTTGAATTTTCCCATTTTGAAAAAATTAACTTCTTCTTTTTTTCCAGGAAGCTGGCGAACTCTAGCAGGTTATAGCTTTGACATGGTATTCGCAAGCTGTTGTGTGTGACAGTATCTCATTTAACTAATGGAAATACATGTGTGCATTACACAAAGACAAAATGAAAATGGATGTCACAGAAGATGATTCATACATGAGCCTCATGATGATGATTATTTAGTGAGCTTTCAGAAACAATTAAAAGGAAAGAAGGAGAGGCCATCCTGTCGCGGACTCTGTATCTTTAACTTACTACTGTAACTTATTGTTGCTATTGCTACTATGAAAAAGTTCAATATCGACTTGATATTAGGGTATATAAAGGTTTGACAAAAGATCGCGTGTTGTCGGAGAGTTTATATTTCCTTACCAAGGATTATTGTATCATAGTTAATCATCATCGTCATTACCCAGCCCTTTGCGTTCACTGCTCGACATAGGCCTCCTTCAATTTTTAAACTTTGAGGGTATACAAGGCAACTATCGAACACGGTGATTAATTTAATCTTGCCCAAGTACTTTCGATCAATAGATCATCTTCAGGGGCATTTCGTCAATTGTGGCCTATCCTGACATGAGTAGAATGTCATAAATGTAAAATTTGGACATAACAATACAAAATACAATACACAAAGACAAACAAACACTTTAAAATTTTAAGGAGAAGCTACATGTTGTATAGAAGCCGGAGACAGAATGGGCTCCCGGTCTGACGGAAATATTGAGATCCTCTCAATATCTCAAGCTAGAACAAGTAGTCGATTGTACTCGATAGCCTTTTCTATTACTATTTTAATGCTCTGTAGGTTATCATTTGTTTCAAATCCGGTACCAAATCCCGCTTGCTCTATTGGCTGGTAGAAATCAAGTTGTTTCTTAAGACGATAAGTTACTATTCTTGTAAGGAGTTTGTATAGGTGACTAAGAAGACTTATAGGTCTGTAATTTTCTAATTCATGGAGATCTCCTTTTTAGTACAATAGAATTGCCTCAGCATTGTGCCATTTGTCGGGTATCTTACTGTCCATAATGCACATGTTAAAAAGGTTTTTTATTTTCTTAAGTAGGCAAGTGCCTCCGATTTTGATTGCATGAGTAACTACACAATCTTCGCCTGGAGGTTTGTTATTCTTAGCTTTTCTTAGGGCTAGTTTTATTTCGCTATTGTGATTTCTGGTAGTAGTTATGATCCTTGGTTGACAATGCTCTTTTTTCTTGTTAATATTTCTGGTACTTGATCTTCTCTGCTATTTGCTTTGTATTGGCTTTTGTACAGCAATTTGTAGAAGTCTTCAACTATTATAAGAGTTTCCTCTCTGTTGACCATTTCTATCGTTAATCTCTATTATCTGCCTTGTCCCCATTCTTAGTCTTTTTCTCAATACGTTCATACTTCTATTGTTCTCAATGGTATGTTTGATTTGTTTTTGGTTGTATTTTCGAGTGTTTTGTCTTTGAATATTTCTTCATTTAATTTTTATAGTTTATCGGTTTTAATTTTCGTTTCGCTTCTCATTTCTCTTCTTTTCTGCATTAGTTACCTGGTATTTTGGCTAATCTTCTCTTATTTTTGAGTTCTAGGACAGAATTTATTTTGACTCTCCAGTAAGGCATTTAATAATTTACTATTTAAGTCGTCTATATACATCTGAAAATAAAAAAATAAAAAACCTATATCAAGGTGCCAGAAATGAAAAAAAAAGGTTTCCAACAAAAACCCATATTCGTTAAAAACAAAACAGGAAATAATATAAGCGGAGAAGCAGAAATAGTCGAAAGATGGAAAGAGTATTTTGATGAATTACTAAATGGCAATAATAAGTCAAACCAAAGAGAACATATGGAAGCAGAAGCAAGAATCGAACAAATAGACGACATAGAAGATAATTCACCCAGCAAAAAACAAATCGAGGAAATAATAAAAAAACTGAAAAACAACATATCCCCTGGAAGCGATAACATAACAGCAGAGATGATGAAATATGGTGGAAAACTGCTAAATAATTGGATATGCAAGATCACAAAAGAGATATGGATAAAAGAACGAATACCAGAAGATTGGAAGGAAGCCATTATTTGTCCATTACACAAAAAAGGAGACAAAACAGAATGCAGTAATTACAGGGCAAAGCACAACGGACCAAGTATTCATAATCAGAGAATTACAAGCAGAAAGCTATGAACACAACTTTAGCCAACTATAGCGCTATTCATCGACTTCCAGCAAGCATACGACAGAATAAAAAGGAAGGAATTAAAAGAGACCCTTGAGAAACTGGGAGTTAGCAGAAAGTTGCGTAACATAATACATCTTACTTTAGAGAATACAGAGTCAAAGTAAACAATCATACATCGGACAAATTTATAGTAAACGAAGGATTAAGGCAGGGCGATCCTTTGTCATCACTACTCTTCAATTTATGCCTAGAAAAAATAGTGCGAGAAGCGAGAATTAATAGAGAAGGACACCTATATCCTAAAAGACATCAAGTTTTTGCATTTGCGGATGATATAGTGTTGCTGGCAAAAGGAAAAAAAGAGCTACAGGAGATAGTACAGAGAATAGTAAAAGCAGCAAAGAAAATGGGACTTTACATAAATGAAACTAAAACAAAATGTATGCAGTGGACAGATGATCAGCTTAGGGATGGACAAAAGTTTAAAGTAGAAGTAGAAGAAAGACCATCATACGAATTGGAAATGGTAGAAAGATTTACATACCTAGGTACAATAATATCGCGTAAACCTAATATTAAAGAAGAAATACAAGCTAGAATAATGGCAGCCAATAGATGTATACATGCTCTTAGTGGAATGTTGAAAAGCAAGTTTTTATCAAGAAAGGCAAAAATACAATTATACAAAACAACTACACAACCAATAGCAACATACTGCAATGAGACGTGGACAATGACAAAACATGAACAAAATTTACAGGAGATATGGGAAAGGAAAATCTTGAGGAAGATATATGGAGAAATAATAAGGGACGGTTTATGGATAAGAAGATCAAATGATGAGTTAAAAAAATTATATAGTCAACCTTACATAATAGGAGTCATAAAGGCACAGAGACTAAGATGGCGAGGTCACCTAGAAAGGATGCCGAACACGAAGACTCCAAAAAGGGTACTAAACTACACTATAACTTCAAAAAAGAGAAAAGGAAGGCCAAAAAATAGATGGAATCAGGAGGTAGAAAAAGATATGGAAGAAAATGGACTAGACGGTCAGAAAAGAAAAATGAATAACAAGAAGGAATGGAGAAAAGTCACATATTGAGCCAGAGAAGATCTCAGTACATAAAGGAAAGCGAAAATGAAAAAAGAACAAAATTTTTAAGCCATGGGCCTCTAAGGCCTTTAGTGCTATTGTATTATAATATATACATCTAATGGTTCCATCCATGGTTTTAATTTGTTCTTCTTTTTAATCATCTTACACCTTCCCCTCTTTAAGCTTATCGTATTCTATTTCTATTCTATTTTACCTCGTACTATTCTATGATCGCAACTGGTAACAAATCTGTTTAGAGCCGTGATATCTTTAACGGTGTGTTTTTCGTCCGTGGTAATAAAATCTATTTCGTTTTGACTTTTTCCATTAGGACTTTTCCATGTTCATCTTCTCTGGTATCTTTTTGAAAAAACCGTTCATTTGGACTAGTTCATATTGCAGCATGAAATATTCCAAATCATATTTAATAAAATATGTATAATCAGCCAATTGACTGTAATCGTCCGGTATAGAAATAGAACAAGAGGTTCCCATAGAGGAACAAAATACCTGATTGGATACAAATATTAGACTTACCTGGTTGAAAACTGTTTCCTCCGGACAGATAAAACTCCACCTGAAAGTTTGATTTCTTCCATCTGAGTACGTAACCGGCAAGCACACATGGAATAGTTGGCAGTCGTTTTCTACGTCAGCATAGTATCCATAGTCTCTTCCTTCGCAGTGAAATGAGTCGCTTATGTCAGTTCTTATACTAGTGGCGTTACTGGGCAACGTCAATAAAGAAGGCGGTGCTAGGAATTGAGGTGTAAGCTAAACAAAAAGATCAATTTTTATTGATGATTGTTATATATTTATATTAGAATACAATAGTTCTTCAAAAAATATCAAATTTACTTTAGCATGCACTTGTTTACTTCTATTGTAATCCTGCTGCTTTTTTTAGGTTATACTACAATAGAAATTAATTGTTTATAGAAAAAAAAACAAGTTAAACAATGATAAATGTCTAAACACAAAACCTATTGAGAAAAAGAATTAAAGAATCTTGAATACAAATATATGTGCTTTTCAGATAAAACTATCCACTTAAAATAACCTATGAACTACTAATTTTTAGGAAAAACCCCAAAATGCGTCAATTAATATTTGAAGGGGGAGACATTATGTCATATTTAATTTACGCTTGCTGGGAAATGCACTCTCTTATCCCCCCCCGTTTACTCCTTTTTTATTTATTTTATATCTGAATTCTCCTTTTTGTACTGATTTCAAACATGTATAATACATTCGACTTAAAGTGATTAGTTTATGAGATGGACAATTTTTCTGTTAATAAGATAGTATCTCTCACCCCAAAGCCGGATACACACTTGGGAAAGTAGCTGGCATAGGCCAGTAACTGACAAGCCCAAAATACATCTGTTAAGCCAGAAATACACATGCCTGTTACTAGCACAATGGCGTACCAGTAGTTAGCAAGCACCAGCTATTTTCCCCGAACTGTCAAGTGTGTACGTTAACTGGCATGCTAGCTAATCGCAAAGAATTTGATTTTTCTTGCTAGTAGCATGCTGTGAGATGCAAGGCGCATGCGTTGGGAGTGTCACTCACATGTGTGAACGCGCGCTACCGCTACGGGCATGCAAGTAGTTAGCAGAGAATTGTCAGATTTGTTTTGTTGGTGATAAAAATTAATCGTTTTATTTTTAAACTTTTTAATTTAAAAATGTTTCGTTGGGGTGATGAAAAAACCATTAAATTTATTGCCATATATAAAGAATTATAGTGTTTTTTGAATTATAAATCATCTCTATATAAAAATAAAATAGCCCGTGACAATGCCTACACAAAAATTCAAGAGGAAATGGGTGAAGGTATTACTATAAAGGAGATAAAGGCCAAAATAAAAGATTTTCTTTTCTACCAATCCAATTGTTCACCCAAATTTTTCTCTTTTTTGAGTTCCTCTTCGGATTCATTATTAAATTTCTAACAATATCTTTGGTCATCAGCAATATTTGCTTGTTAATTCATTCCAGATACCTTCCATGAATCCCTTTTTTGTTGGAAACTCAAAAACTTTTAATTACAAAACAATTGCTTTAGTTTCAAATGGAAAAAATTCATTCTTTACTATCACTGGCATGTATAAAAATCTACCCTGCTTTTGCAAAAAAAGAGGAACTCTAAAAAGAGAGAAATTTTGGTGAGAAATTGGACTGGTGGGCGAGAAAATCTTGAAGCAATTTTTTATTTTGGCCTTTATTTCCTTTATAGTAATACATTCACAAATTTGGTCTTGAATTTTTGTGTGTACATTGACACGGGCTATTTTATTTTTATGTAGAGATGATTTAGAATTGTAAAGACACTCAAATTCTCTATAAATAGCAATAAATTTTATGGTTTTTATATCACGTTAACGAAACATTTTATATTAACAAGTTTAAAAATAAAACGATTAATTTTTATCTATTGTATAACACAACAAATTTAACAATTCTCTGCTAGCTACTGGCACGCCCTTAGTGGTAGCGCGCGTTCACACATGCCAGTGATACTACCCACATATGCGCCTTGGATTGGATCTCACAGCATGCTACTAGCAACAAAAATCAAATTCTTTGCGATTAGCTGGCATGCCAGGAACTAGCGTGCTAGTTAACGTACACGCTTGCCAGTTTGGGGAGAGTAGCTGGTGCTTGCTAGGTACTGGTATATCATTCTGCTAGTAACAGGCATGTGTATCTCCGGCTATAGGTTGTAGCATAATTTAAACTGTTTAAATATTTAACCGTACTATTTGTACTTTCAAAGACCAAGACCAAGAATCAAAAAATTTCACTTTTTATTAAGTTTTATCAAAGGTTTTTGATATTATCTGGACATTCATTTTAATCGGTTAATAGTCAGTGACAATTTGTAACTTGTAACATCCTTTTTGTCCTCTCTGTGTCAGGTCTTGTTTCTGCCGCGTATGTCATTATTGGTCTGATGACTGTTTTGTAAATTCTGCCTTTCGTTTCTTTCCCGATATTTATATTTCTCAATATTGTTTTATTTAGGCAGCCTGCGGCTTTGTTTGCTCTATTCACTTGATCTTCCACTTCGTTTTTGAGCTTTCCGTAGCTTGATAATGTGATGCCTAGATATTTAAACTCAATCACTTGTTCTATTATCTGACCTTCCAGCTCCAATTTCATTATCATCATTCAATCTTTGCTTATCCACTGCTGGACATAGATCTCCCTCATAATTTTTCATCGATTTCGTTCTTATGCCTCTTGCATCCAATTTCTATGATAACGTTTTAGATCGTCAGTCCAACGTGTTGGTGGACAACCTCTGTTTCGGTAGACATCATCTCTTGGTCTCCATTCCAGTATCCGCTTTGTCCATCTATTATCTGTCATTCGAGCCACGTGACCTGCCCAGTTCCATTTCAGTGTTGCTACTCTCTTTACTGCATCAGCCACTCCTGTTCTTTGTCGTAGCTGGCGATTTGGGATCTTGTCTCGTAGTGAAACGCCCAACATAGCACGCTCCATCGCCCTTTGACATACACGGATCTTTTGAACTGTTCTCCTTGTCATGGTCAACGTTTCCACACCGTAAGTCAACACTGGCAAAACACACTAATTAAAGTTTTTTTCTTTTAAGACGTATTGGTATATCAGACGATTTGAAAATATGGTTCAGCTTGCCGAAGGCTGCCCAAGTCTTATACGACGAAGAAGCTCAACGGTTTGGTTATCTCTTCCCATGCGGATCTTATGTCCTAGGTATTTATAGGCCATTACCTGGTCTATGTATCTTGTTCCTACGCATATATCTTCGCTGACTACAAGCTTTGTCATCATATGGGTTTAAGATATATTTATTTTCAATCCCCCTTCTAGCGAGGAAAGGTAGAGCTGATTTAAAAGTTCTTTGGCCTCATCTATCCTATCAGCTATTAGTACAATATCATCTGCAAACCTTAGATGGCTAAGCTTTTCTTCGTTTATGTTTATGCCCTTGTCGGTCAGTTTTGCCCTTTTACATATATATTCCAAAAGCGTAGTGAACAGTTTCGGTAATACGGTGTCCCCCTGGCGTACTCCACGTTGTATCGGGAATTTCTGTGTTTGACGATCACCCACTCTAATACTGGCTGTTGCGTTTTGGTATATGTGTTTAATTATATTTATATACCGATAGTCAATTCGGCATTCTGTCAAGGCTTTCAACATTTTTTGTGGAATTACGGTGTCGAATACCTTTTCATAGTCGAGAAATATTAAAGCTAGTGGTTTAATATTTAAAGCTCCAATTAGTAGGTAGCTCCAATTTACATTTTAGTAAATGTGCTGTTGTAACTATGCATTTTGTTTTTGTTTAAATTTTACATGTTAAATTTAACATGTTAATCTCCCCAAAAAAGACAAAAAGTTGTTTGGAGAACAGACATAATCGCCGATACCTACTGGAATGAGAGTGATTAACATATTGTACGTGAATTTCACACACAGCATCGCCAAAGGTTAAACGTATGATGTGGTGAGTGAATACATTATCGGACCCTTCTTTATCATATCGAACAATAGTAGAAAATAATGATAACCTTTTCAAAAATTTGGTTGTATTTCAACCATACTTTGCTCTAGCTGTGCGACAATTTTTAAACGAAACTTTTCACGCTCGTTGGATAGGTAGAAGAGGACAGATGATGGATTGGCCACCTAGGTCACCGGATTTAAATCACCGGATTTAAACTTCTTCTTATAAAGGTATTAAAACACAAATTTATGCTACTCAGTCAGAATCTCTGGATGATTTGCGACAAAGAATAGAAGATGAATGTTGACTATTAAATACAGACGTGTTAAGCAATGTCAGAGAAGAAATTCAAAATAGATTGTACTATTGTATGGAAGTGAATGGCAGTCATTTTGACCAATTATTGTAAAAATTTTTGGTAGTGAGACTATATAATAATGAGACAGAACTCAAAATTTAAGTGCCAAGACTGCAGAGTAAAAAGAGGGTCTAACTGTGGGACAGACCATTACTTTCTTTTAGCTAATATTTTGTGCCCCTTTAAACAAAACAACAAACATAACACCGAAAGTTAGAGAAACAATACTACGCAGTACAAAACGGAGAGATATAAATTGCATCTTTTATTCCAACCAAGTATTAAACATCTTTTTCAATGTAGATTAGAAAGGGAACTGAATGAGATGGAAAGAAATATGGATGTAGAACAAGAATACAATAACCTCAAAATGATATTAAAAAAAATTACTTATGAAGTATTAGGAACAGAGAACAACGACAAAAAACACTACGAACCACCATGGATGACAGAAAACGTCTGATACAAATAAAACAAATAAAACATCTGGCAATAGAGTATCATGTTCTGAAGCTATTTTCTTGTGGCATTGTAAATTAATTACTATTAAACTGGGAATAAGCCACAATTAAAGATAAAAATACATTTATTGACGTTTCAATTTCCACTTCGGAAATTGAAACTTCCGAAGTGGAAATTGAAACGTCAATAAATGTATTTTTATCTTTAATTGTGGCTTATTCCCAGTTTAATAGTAATTAATAGAGTATCATATCAAATGAAAAACGGAGAAGTACGCCAGCAAATAAAAGAAGCAAAAAACAATTTCTGGGAACAAAAATGTGTCCAAGTTGAAAATTTAATGGGTGGTTCTCAGACAACGGAAGCATGGAAAACTATCATAAATCTAAAGAAGAACACCCATAACTCATTAAGCAACTTAATTTCTATAGAAAAATGGGAAAATCACTTT